GTCTGGAAGCAAGGCACGTACTTCCGCATATCGTCCTCGTGGCTCATATCCAGCGGGGCCAGCATAGCATGATAATACAGCTCGAGCGTCGTCGCGTCCAGGAAATCTTTGCTTCCCTTCTTGGCCCTCGCGAGTCCATACAGGATCTGGAAGGCTTCGTGCCACCGGTGCGCCGCCATGAGGGAATCGCTCCTGACCACGGCCGTGGAGATTGGAATGAATTTCCGGCTTGAGCGAGGGAATAGTTCTCGCCGGCCTGGGCGCTTGTGGATGTCTGGATGGCAGGAGTGCATGCTTCGGACCATCAGCAGCTCCAGGTAGTTCCGCGCTTCGGAGAGAGAAGAAAATAGTGTGGGCATGTTGTGGAGAGATGTTAGCGGCGAGCGTTCGCGGAAGGCGGGGTTGGGGATCCCGCGTGTGAGGTTGCCAATGAAGGACATGGCTTGTAAGTCGAGGCGAACGAAGGCGCGGATCAGGCTCTCGTCGACCCGAGAGAGCAGCGAGGATGGAATGCCATCTACGAGGGATGTAGGGGTATCTTGCTTTTGAGCGACGGACTGCTCGATTAGAAGTAGGCCGGTGTTGATTTGCGAGAGGGCGTTATAACTGTTGCCGTGGAAGGTCTCGAAGCAGATGATCACGAGGCAGGTTATGAGCGTAGTGGTGAGGTCGAGTGTGCCTTTCGAGGTCTCCTTTTGCATGGCCTGGATCGCGAGACTGTATTCTCGAAGAGCAAGTTGGTAATGTGTTCGGGGGTCTGCAGGACTGGTACCTGTTCCGCATCGATGGTTGGGAAGCTGGTCAGTCTTCAACTGCGAAGTTATGTCTAAGGCTGCAATGGCAATAATGCCATGCCGTACTGCTTCGTTACGCTCGGAGGCTTGCAGCATGAGACCACTCCACAGGTTTGTGGGCGTGATGCTCTTGAGGTGATGTGCTGTCTTCTCGCAGAACATCTGCAGGTATCGGAAGTCGCCTTCATTCTGAATTAAGTTGTTCGATGGTTCCCAGAGGATAGGCTCAAAATCTGGAGCTATGATGGGAAGGATGGGGCGAATTACGGACCCCTTCTTAGGCTTTGTGACGTAGCCGTCGCATTTGACGCAGGCTTTGATGCATCTGGAAGGTTTGAGTTTGAGTGGTGGGACACGAGATAAGAGGAGCACGCGGGGGAAGGTGTACCTGTTGCAGTAGGGCTTGGCTTCATCGCACTTCACTCGCCGGATCCTTTTGGTGCTCGTATTAGATTGTCCCGTTTGAGAAAGGAACCACCCCATCGGGTGCACTACACTTACTTGCACGTTACACAACCCGTTCTGGTCTTGGGCTTGCTTGCTCGCGGCTTAAGGGGCTTGATTCGGGATATCTCTGTCATGTTTCACTCATTCCTAGCCTTAAATTGAAAAGCTACAGTATAAAGATGATTCACAATAAGCATTTTCAAGAACGCGGGAGACAATAATGAGGTTAAAATTTTACGTGCCACTCGTGCACTGTCAGATATGCACGGGAGCATGAAACTCCAGACAACAGCTGTCAGCAATTCGCGATTCGCAATTGGCTGGTATTCTCCTAGTCCTGTTGTGCCTGCTGATTGGCGAGCTCGCAAAAAATGCATCCAAATGAGGGAAGGCGTTTGAAGGGGTACAGTCAGCGTCCCAATCAAAAGGAGGGAACATATTGCGAATGCCTCACTCTCGATAGCTAGGAGCCGAGGTATGTAGAATGCTTTGCCACTGGGCGACTTGACGAACACACGAACGAGTGCTGAGAACAGACTGTGTCCATAACGCTGGGAAGATTCAGAGAGGATTAGACGAGCCGGTCAACACACTGGGAAAGAGGAGCTGGTGAAAGTGAGGTATCTTTAATTTTGGACACCAGCAATGCCATTTCGACCAGCCAGCAAATAAAAAACCGTGGTATCATGAAGCAAGAAAAGTCTGTACAGTATAGCCAGCCCGTCTACTCAGATTCGGCGACAACCTTCTGCTTCCGCTTTTTCTTCTTACCCTCAGCAACTTCAGCTCCATCAGCTTCAACTTTCCGCTTCTTTTCTTTCTTCTCCTTCTTGTGCTTCTTCTCGACGACCTCATCGCCAGAAGCTGTCTCAGATAGCCTACGCTTCTTTCCAGTGTCCTTGGCGGTGTTCTCTTCTGGAAGGAGAGAGGGCTCAGTGGCGTTGACTGAAGACTCCTCTTCAACCTGCTTTGAATCCTTTTTGACTTTCTTCTTCTCCACCAATTCGTCGCCATCACTGCTCCTTCTCCGCTTCTTCTTGGATTTCTTGTTTTCGGACGACTCGGCAGAATGAGCTTCCTGGGCCTTAATTGCCTCTGCGGCTTCAACTTCTGCCTGTAGGGCAGCTTCAACTGCGGCGAAATCAATTTCTGGCTCGACGGGGAAAGATACTGCTGGTTCGGAGACGGTATGTTTCTCCTTCTTGGCTTTCTTTGATTTCTGCTCTTCGCCATCATCCTCCATTGCTCGCTTCTTGCTCAGCTTCACAACACCATTGCCATTCACAATAACCGGTGTAGGGTTGGTATCGACGACGAAGTATGGGTTTGGCTCGACTCCATTTGTTGTGGTCTTCTCCTTGTCCGCGCCAGAATCCTCCACAGTTGGGAATCGGGGTACCTTCGCGCCAACATTGAGCGGAACAAAGTCTGCGCCCTTGGTAACCGCATCGGCATCGTCGCTGGAAGAGGAAGGATTAGAAATCTCGGTATCAGTATCGCTGTCACTGCTAACAGCGTCGGGGTCTCTTCCTAGCTTTCCTCTCTTCGTGTATCCCAATTCAGCAGCTTTCTGCGCAAGTTTCGGTCCCAGTAGTTCGAATTCCGTGCCCTTGACGCCGAGTCCCTTCTTATCGCGCAACCTCTCCGGTGGCAGCTGTAGTGCACATTAGCAAATAATCGTAAATTGGCCATGGAATGAGAACTCACAATGCCTTGCGCAGATCTCCGCGCATCAACAAGTACCTGTCTCGCACGATCCATCATTTCGCACAGAACCCTGAAATTACCCCTCTCCCCCAGCTCCCACTCTAACCGCTGCTTCTCAGGCATATGCACCATCTCCGTCTTCATGCTCATCATAGTGCGATCCAGGGCCAGGATATGCGACTCGATGACGCCCAAATGCTTCTTGAACAGCGCCGGCCACTTCGCATGCAACAAATTCTTCATGACCCGATCCGACGCTGCTTTCCTGATCGCATCCATATCGGAACCAATGGGGGGAATGGCGTCCCTTTCGGCCTTCTTATCCTTCGACATGAGCTTCTTCGCTTTCTTGATGGGGTTCACAGGACGCGGTGCTTTAACTTTGGTGATTTCGGTGGATTTCTTGATCGCGGATTTAGGGTCCTTCTTGCCCTTTTTGCCTTTGCCTTTACCCATTGTGAAAAGAGGTGCAGGTGAAAGGGTGGTGGTCGAGTTTGAAGTGTCGAGGTGATTCGAGAAATTTATTTTTGGATGGAGGGAACTTTTTCGCGAGGCTGGGATTTTGGCGGGGAAGGCTGGGCTAGCCGCTTGCGGACGAGGGACGCTTTCGAGTCCACATCTTGATGGAAGATGCACGCATCCGTGACTTGAAAAATCCAATCTTTCAGTATATAAATCTACTCTTTCAATTTAAACTCCTTCTTTTGTAAAGACTTTTCTCTGAACGCATCACGGCTTCCCGAGCCGCAAACCTCTTCAGATCCACTTGAGGAATATGTACAAGACATGAGGAGAGTATACTTCGTATTGTGATACAGAACTTATGTCCCCGAGAGAATATTGTACAAGAAAAGCACAGTTATCCCATTACCATCGTCGATGCTCCTTGTCCCAAACTCCACGCAGTGCAGGTAATCATCATTGCCTCGACCCTACCATCATACAACACCTCGTAAGTCGACTGCTACCCTCTTCCACTTGCCCTCCAGGCGTGAAAGATATCTTGCATGCTTGTTGTATCTCGCAAGCGTGGAGTGGCGTGGGGAGGCTTGTCGACAGTATTCCAGAATCTTCCTTCGTCCGTCGATTCCCTCTCATTTCTTATCCACCTTCCCCTCCTTCCTCTCCGCCACAACCTTCTCATCCTTCTCCTTAATCTCCTCGGTCTTCTCGCGTCCCCAATTCCACACCTCCCAGATCTGATCCATAATCAAGCCCCCATACCCCTTCCCCTCCTCCAGCGCCTCCTTCTCCTTCTGATCCCTCTTCGCCTTCCAATCCTCGCTCTCACCGCCCATCCACACCTTCTCCAACAACCCCCTCTCCTTCTCCACTCTATTCCTCTCCGCCAACTCCTCCCCTTTCCTCCTCACACTCTCAATCCCCTCCGCTCTCCTCAACTTCTCCTCCTTCAACCTGGCTTGCATCTCCCTCGCCTTCGGCGGCAGCTCATGGCCACTGATGCTCTCTAGTCGGTTCCCAAAGCGCTGTAGGATGGATGTGCCAGTGTATTCTTTCGAGAGCTGGTTGCCGCCAGCGAACATCCCGCTGAGCAGGCCGAGGGTGTAGATGTCTAGTTTTCGGGGTGGGAGGACGATGATTATTGGGCAGATTATTAGGGCGCCGAGGGAGACGTTATGGATCTGAGGATTGTTAGAGAGGATAGGAGGGGAGGAACGAGAGAGGTACGAGGTTTGCGCGTGAGGATGGGTCGAGGGTTGTGCTGGGAGGTGGTTGTGAGGAGGGAACTTGGGGCGTTGATTGAGACATTCTGGAGGGCAATGGGATGCACCGTGTAATTGAATAAGAGAAGAGTATGTTATCGTAATTGCATGTCGTGGTGCTCAATCGTTCATTTCAGAGGTCGTGGAATTGAAGCTTCAATTGTAGACATCACCAAAAATTCCAAGTCGCTTTCAAGCTGCCGAGGTTTTGCCGTTTCCCACCCCGCTGTTTTTGATGTAGTTTCATAAATTGAAATAAGAGAAATTTTCGTTATTGGTCGCGGTATGTAATCAACTCACCCCACTACTTTCAGCACTCACTAATTCCCCCTAGATGCCAGAGTGGTTAATGGGTATGACTCGAATTATCTTCGGATATACTAGATATCATATGGTTTCGGCCGCGTAGGTTCAAATCCTGCTCGCGACGATTTTTGCCGTTTTTTCCTTTGATGCTTTCTTGTTTTGCTTCCGTGGTTGAGATTGCGATGCGCTTTTTGATGTTGGCGGCTTTGCCGAGATGACAATTCCCGAGGCTCTCCTAACGATCTCTACCACTAACGTTTCAACGATGAACGTCGACCTCTCGGGCTTATTTGCATTCTACATGTGTCTCTTTGGGCGTTGTGTTGTTTTCCAGAATAGCTTCGTTTAAGACTAATACTGTCCGTAGCTAATCGAATTACGAATAAGCTTGGATCAAGATGTAGCGTAACTGTCGCGGGTCTCAGACCATGAGGAATAACAGTGGCGTAATTGAACGGAAATAGGGTGTAATGTGGGTCTGAAGTAGATTTAATGAGATTTGCCTATAGATACCCTTATATCGCTATATTTCTCAGGTACTGAAATTAAGTTCTAAAATATTAGCCACGGCGTAGTAATGGTTGTCATTGGCAAGCCTTGCAGCATTTCGATATCTCTGGCTCCTTGGAAGGTGCTGATCTGCGCCAGCATGGATCAGCATCTGAACCATGTCAAGCCGGCCATGTTCTGCAGCCAATTCAAGCGCTGTCCTTTTAAATCTAGATTCTGGCGCATTGACGTCTACTCCATTTCGAATTAACCTGTAAGCAACCCCTATATGTCCAACGAGTGCTGCAATATGAAGAGCCGTAAGACTATGCGGATCTTCTACAGAGGTATTGATGTTAACTCCGAGGTCAATCAGCTGCAAATGCTGCTGTAAATTGAATTCCCCCGCTGCTATAGCGTTTCGAAAGATCTTCCAGTTGCCAGCAGGATTAGATCCGTGATTAATAATCCTAACCCTCTTGAACAAGCTTATGTTCTCTTCGGCGTAAGACTGCTCAAATTTCCTTTTCGTAGATAATCGGGGGTGACTATCATGTTCCGTGGTGAGGGGGTTGCCGAGAATTGAACCCTTGGGTACCATAGGCCAAAATGATTCCACGGGCTCCTCTGCAGGCAGTCCTTCAATGCGCTGATACCATATGCCACAACCTCCACTGGGCTCAATTAGTGGTGTGATTATCAACCGCGAGAAGGGAATTTACCACGTAATTGCATTACTACTGCCTTGGATGCACTCCTTTCCACACCCTGGGCATGTTGTGCCCGCATTGGTCTGTTTAAAAACCATACTCATATCAACTTGACGACCGGGGAGGAAACAAGCCACAAAAGGCCGTGATCTTTCAAGTTCTTGTTGAGATAGTCTATCTTGAATGGCATACTCCTTCTTCCTGATCTTGCGCTCGCCCGGGGCGTTCATAAATCTAGCTGCTATAACGGATTCGAACACTTCCCAGGAATTGATTAATTCCAAATGTAGTGGAGCAATGCGACCTAATGGGTCAGTCCATATTGCAGGCTCCTGGATCCAGCATGGTTCAAATTCCCGAGGCACCCGTCGCTGTAGGTCTACCAAAATGTTATAGGTCTGGAAGTTGAGCGTCAAGATTCTAGACATAAATGTCTTCAACTCGGTACCGAGGGTGAAAAAGTATTTCCTAGATGAAGTCAGCAGTGAACATCGAGTTCATTGAGTATGCCTCCGCCTACATCCTCTCTGCAAGCCTACTAACAGTAGTTCCTTGAGCTTCCAGACTTCTTGTGTTTTCATCCAACTTTTCATTCACCTTCTCGAGGACGGCCAACTGTTGATGCGTTGTGGAGTCAACTTCTTCCCTATAAATATCGAGGCGTTCGTTTAGTCTCTTGTCGTTCAGTCTTGTAAGAGAGCTTCATCTAAATCAGCATGACTTCAAGACATAATATGCCAATATCTGAGCCACTCACACACTAGCAGTAATGAGCAACATATTGATAGCGGAGCTATGTCCATTAATCTCGGTTCTGAAATTTGCCAGGTCATCCTTTTGCAACAAAGCCCACTTCAACTTTTCCCTAGCATCCTTCCACCTAATGCCAGATCCGCCGAAGCACAATGTCCTCTCGTGTGTCTTGATCTTCGCCAAGAATGTCTCAATACATGTTTTGCATTGATCCGCAACCCTTCTTACTGTATGAGCGAGTGCATTCATTTCAATCGTTGTCTCGTAGCTACGCGATAACATCTCGACCTCGAGGAGAGCTCTGTCTAATGACCACAACTCCCGAATAACTTCTCGATACTCGGCAGAGGCGCCATGAGTATCGTCGAGGGCTTTGATGGCGTCTTTGACCAAAATGCATATAGCGATGCAGTCGCCAGCCGAGAAACGGAAAGGCACCGCCATCGTTCAAAGGCTGGCAGTCTCAAGAGATGAGAGAAACGCAAGTACAATTAGGCCAGGTTAAGAAACGTCTCGCAGTTGCTAGATTTGTGGACAGATGGTAAGGGATGAGGATTTCAAGATGAACTCAAAGATGCTTATCGTCACGACCATTGTTCGACAGCCTCGTCCCACATCGGTGGCGAAGTGCTTGTGGAGGCTGTGCCGTACTCGGTCAGATTTTTGACACCAACTCAACTCAAAAGTTGGTGCCTAAGGAATAATGGGCGGTGCATTGGCCAATATCGAATTTGGCGAATGGATCGTGAGCAGCTCAGCCTTGTGTTAACAATGTCGATTTGGGATTACGATATGCGATTGATCTTAAGCCAGTTAGGAAAGGTAGAGAAGGCAACCCGAGTCTAGGAGGAGGACGAGAGAGAGAAGGGGAATTCTAATTGGAGCATGTCCTTGTGAGCAAAGCCGTAGGGCCGTTTGCAAACTTTCGGCATAGAAAGTGGAGTCAATTACTTGTACTAGAGCAACAACAGCTTGGAGGTAGTGGCAATCTCCTGCTTTGGCGAATCATTCAATCAATGCATAACATTCTTGCTTTAATGTCTCTTGCAAGTCACTTCTTTCACTCACTATTTGGCTCACACACTTCGAGTGTGATTTCAGCGTAGCCAGTCACTGTACAGTCACGCATGCGACATCGTGACCACACCGCCGAGCAAAAGTTAGCCGATGTTTGGAAGGCCACGAATTCATGAATTCTTTTCAGCTGGTCTCCATATACCACGTCTATCGGAATGAGATGGGTGCTGCGGTGCATGAGTGGTCCGCGTGGGCATGTCCGGCACAGCGGATTTCTCCGTCAGCTTTATCTAACATTCGGTCCATATTTAGCAAAATTCAAAAGTCAAGATAAGGCTCTAAAGTCTAGACCGCATCGAATCTCTCTCTATTGGTTTGGAGCAGAATCTAGCCATGCAGATGAGGGACTTAAGCAGCTATGTCTTGTGTATTATGCAGATCTAGGCATATGCTGTGCAACACACCGCACAATTCCTTGTACACCATTTTCTTCATCGGGATTTGCCTGCGGCATGAAGGGACCTGTGATAGGTGTGGATAACCATGACGCGGGTCCAGGTTGGGGAAGTCAATTTGACGGAGAAAGGCAACTACCAACAAGCCGGGATTGAGCTCCGGACTAAGACATGCAGTTCTTGAAACACACTTCGCTTAGCCATCCCGCTCGATGTCAAGTGCAGCCATACACTGGGTTTTCAGACAGGCCTCAGAGATCAGAGCCCACGAATTAAGCGAGTAGGGCTGAAAGGAGTTCCAATTATTCGCTCACGTGGAACACTAACAGCGGGGGTTCCCCGCGATGGAGAGCTGAGCAATAAGCCCCCAAAGCTTGGCATCTCCATTTACAGCGGTCTTGACGTCGAATAGGAAGCCGATGGGGTTGTTTGCGGTGTGGCGTGGTTGATGCAGCAGGTTGTTATTGGTGAGGTTTAGCGAAAAGTGTTGAGGAGGATGGGACGGGAAACTTTTACGATGCATGGCAGTCGTTCTAGAGCTGAATCTTTCAAGCCTGTCAAGCTATACTGCATGTTTTCGCTTCTGGACTCCGAGAACTATAGTGCCAGACTTGCAGACTCAGCATCTTCATCACAAGCGAGAAACGCCACTTATGGAGAGGAGGTGGTATCGATAGGTAGACTTCGCAGGGTTTCCAGGCACTGCACTATAAAGAACTCGCCTCGACCAGCGGTGCATAATAGCTTGAAATTACTCCACCGCTGCTCCCAAACCATCATCTTGGTTCAATGTCCGGGCCTTGATTGCAAAGTCCAAAAAACATATCAAAACCTTCCTACCAAGTGCTGATTCCCACTCCACCATGAGATACTGGTTTTTTCCACTCATATTCGCTCTTTCTGCTTCGGCCCATGGCAAATCGCATGATCATAAGCAAGGCCACAAACACCCGGGTAATCCAACAACATCTTGTGCAGAAGACGAATGGCCATGGTCCGATGGGAGATGTGTGAAGAAGAATTGTCCCCCGGACTGGATTCGGGATAGTTCTGGTGCATGTATGTGTCCGGGAGGACAGGTTCCCAACAGCATTGGCCAATGTGGGTGCCCCCCTGGAACGGAGAAAGCACTTGGTGGCAATTATTGCCAGAAACAATGCAAGCCTGATATCCCAATCGTCATCGACTGTCGAAAGGGGTTTATTCCGACTCCGAAAAAGGACGGATGCATGTGTCTACCTGGGCTTGTTCCGAAAGGGCAAGATTGCGTCTGTCAATACGAGGAGCAATATTTCGATGGCGAAAAATGCGTCTGTCCATATGGGCAAGTTTGGAAAGAGAACGAATGCGTCTGTCCAAACGAGCAGCAAGTTTTCGATGGGAACAAATGCGTCTGTTTTTGGGAGGGGCAAGTTTTAGATGGGGACGACTGTGTCTGTCCCGCTGGCACAGAGTTCTTTTTTGAAGAAGGGGGTTGCGTGTCTGTCCCAACACCAAATTGTCCATCCGGAGTAAAGACCGGTAAGCTAGCTAAGAGCAAAATCTGCAAAACTGCACAGTATTGACGACAGTATAGGCAAATGCTACACCTTCACATTCGGAAATGGCCAACTGTTCGGGTACAACTCCAGCGCCCGTTTCTATACCGCTTCTCCCTCCCTACAATTCAGCAAGTTCCAATTCTGCACCGACGAAGATTG